GCTCGCCCGGCTCCCCAGCTGCAGAACAGAGCAGGGGGCGGGGAAAGGAGCCCGCTGTCCATGCCAGGCCTCCGGGCAGGGCCGTCTCGGAGCGCCGACCAGGCTGGGGCACTCCTCTTGCTGGAGAGACTTGGCCTCTGAGCACGGGCCCGGGCCGCTCGCAGGTTCAATTCAAACGCGTGGCGGTGGGGAGGCTCTGCCGTCGAGATGTGAGCGCGTCGCGGTGCTGCGCCACGGGTCCGGGCTGTCACAGGAGAGGCTGAGGCCGTGGCTCGCGGCAGCAGGTCAGACTAGATGATCATGACGGTCCCTTTGGGCCTCACAGTCCACGGGTGAGATCATCGTTCTCTCTGCCTTGGGCCAACCAGCCGCTCTTCTCCCGAGCCATTCCTACCAATGCCCCGCCCCCGCCCCTTGCTTATAACGAGTGGGGTCTCCAGCCACAGGCCAGAAACGAAACCTCCCACTGCATGAGCCAAACGGTGAATTCTGGCCGGACACGCCAAGGAAGTTGTTGGGCGACTGGTCGTAGCAACCGGCTTCAAATCTGCTCAGACAAAATCGAACTAGGAAAAAAATCACAATTTGTTCCTGGTCAATAGGAAAACCAAAGGGGCAGCTAATGCAGCTGTTCGCACGGCCTGTGACCAGCTCCCCTCAACGTCACTGCAGGTGGCTCTTCACACCTCCACCTGGAAAATCATTGGCACAGTAGCAGAGAGCGTGCGGGATCCATCACGGTACTGCCCTGGATCGCGCTTAGACCCGCCGGCAGAGACTTTCCTGAGCGCTTTGGGGGCAGGGCGCAGACTTAGTCTAAGGGACAAGCTCTCACACCAGCACCCGTCTGAACGGAGACTTCGGCCACGTCAAAGGTTTTCCAGCTTCTCTCCTCGGGCCCCGTTCACAGGGTATTTAGCGTCGGGTGCATCGCTTCCCACAACGTCCTCTCCTGGCCACATCTTCGCCTAACGTGCTCAGGCCAGACTCCGCTGACACTCTGCCACACCAGGCCCCCTTTGAAACAACCGTTCAGTTCAACAGAGTTCCTCTCCTTGGTCCTGGTAGACCCGCCGACCCCCATAGAAATGGAGCTCTCCTGTCTGTCAGCCATCGTGTGAGGGCAGGTCGGGGTCTCAGCTGAACATCTAGCTTCTCTGGAACGTCTCGGTTAGCAAACGGTGAGGCAGCGTCTAGGAAGAGCAGCGTAGCATCATGGGGCAGCATTGCTGGGTAGTATGGATCTAGATTCACTTTCCTTCGTAGAACAAGGCCGTACGAACAATATGGGGTAATGCAGCACCCCACGTTTTCTGGCTGCTGTCAGAGAAAGTGAACTTTGTGGCAAATCAAGTGGCAGCGTACGTGAGACCTGCAGCGGTTGCCTGTGGCCGGCACTTTTGCATACAACAGCGGCAGCAAGTGAAATGCGGCTAACTCCCGGCAGCACACGCCTGGTTGGGTGCCACCCACTTCCAGCTTGTGCCCGGCCAGTGTCACTGCTGTCCCTGTGCAACTCCTTCCTGCGGCGACCCTGGGTTCTGGGCCATTATTGGGCAATCACAGGCAGGAGTTGGTTTCCAAAAACAGAACTGGGAATGGTGAAGTGAAAGTTGAATCCATTACCCAGCAACCCTTGCGCCCCTCTGCCCCCCTGCATCAGAGCAGCACGCAAGGGCGGGAGGGGCTGGCACCATTCACCCTGCCAGAGCTGCACGTGGCACCCACCACGCTGCCAGGCACATTGCAGAGCACATTGCAAGGAAGCGGGAGCTCTGAAGCCCGGGCCGTGCACAATCCAGCCAGCCAGGGCGATGGACCCGCGACTGGGGACGTGAGAT